CATACACCGAGAGAGAGACACAATCTCACATACTGAGAGAGAGACACGCTCATATATAGAGAGAGAGAGACGCACTCATACTCACACCGAGAGAGAGAGACGGACTCATACTCACTGAGAGAGAAAGACGCACTCACACAGACCAAGAGAGAGACGCGCTCACACACACACACACAGGTGCACTTATATACACGAGAGAGAGACGCACTCACACACACAGAGGGAAAGACGCACTCACACACACCAAGAGAGAGAGAGAGGTGCGCTCATACACACTGAGAGACATTCATACACACCGAGAGAGAGAGATGCACTTATACACACCAAAAGAGAGAGAGATGCACTCATACACACCGAGAGAGAGAGACGCACTCATACTCAAACCGAGAGAGAGATGTACTCACACACACACACACACACACAGGTGCACTCATACACATGAGAGAGAGACGCACTCATACTCAAACCGAGAGAGAGATGTACTCACACACACACACACACACACAGGTGCACTCATACACATGAGAGAGAGACGCACTCCACACACCGAGTGAGAGAGACGCACTCACACACACCGAGAGAGAGAGAGAGACGCACTCATACACAGAGAGAGAGAGAGAGACGCACTCACACACACCGAGAGAGAGGGAGAGAGGTACTCATACACACAGAGAAAGAGACGGACTCATACACACCAAGAGAGTGAGACGCACTCAAACACACGGAGAGAGATGCACTCACACAGACCGAGAAAGAGAGAGACGCAATCTCACACACCGAGAGAGAGAAAGAGACACTCACACAGATCGAGAGAGAGAGACGCACTCCACACACCGAGAGAGACCCACTCACACAGACCGAGAGAGAGACGCACTCATACACACAGAGAGAGAGAGAGACGCACTCATACACACCAAGAGAGAGAGACGCACTCATACACCGAGAGAGAGAGATGCACTCATACACAGAGCGAGAGAGAGAGACGCACTCATACACCGAGAGAGAGAGACGCACTCACACACACCGAGAGAGAGACGCACTCATACACACAGAGAGAGAGAGACGCACTCCACGCACCAAGTGAGAGAGACGCACTCACACACACCGAGAGAGAGAGAGAGAGAGAGAGAGCGGCACTCATACACAGAGAGAGAGAGAGAGAGACCGCACTCATATACACCGAGAGAGAGAGAGATGGACGCATACACACTGAGAGAGAGATGCACTCATACACACCGAGAGAGAGAGACGCACTCATACACAGAGTGAGAGAGAGAGAGACGCACTCATACACAGAGAGAGAGAGAGAGAGAGAGAGACGCACTCCACGCACCAAGTGTGAGAGACTCACTCACACACACCGAGAGAGAGAGAGAGAGGCACACATACACAGAGAGAGAGAGAGAGAGAGAGACACGCACTCATATACACCGAGAGAGAGAGATGGACTCATACACACCGAGAGAGAGAGACGCACTCATACACACCAAGAGAGAGAGACGCACTCATACACCGAGAGAGAGAGATGGACTCATACACACTGAGAGAGAGAGAGACGCGCTCATACACAGAATGAGAGAGAGAGACGCACTCATACACAGAGAGAGAGAGAGAGAGAGACGCACTCCACGCACCAAGTGAGAGAGACGCACTCACACACACCGAGAGAGAGAGAGAGAGAGAGGCACTCATACACACAGAGAGAGAGATACACTCATACACACCAAGAGAGAGAGACGCACTCATACACCGAGAGAGAGAGAGAGAGAGATGCACTCATACACACCGAGAGAGAGAGAGACGCACTCACACACAGAGCGAGAGAGAGAGTCACACTCATACACACCGAGAGAGAGACACACTCATGCACACCGAGAGAGAGAGAGAGATACACTCACATACACAGAGAGAGAGAGAGAGAGAGATACACTCACACACACCGAGTGAGAGAGAGAGAGAGAGAGAGACGTACTCATACACACCGAGAGAGAGAGAGATGCACTTATACACACCAAAAGAGAGAGAGATGCACTCATACACACCGAGAGAGAGAGACGCACTCATACTCAAACCGAGAGAGAGATGCACTCACACACACACACACACACACACAGGTGCACTCATACACATGAGAGAGAGACGCACTCCACACACCGAGTGAGAGAGACGCACTCACACACACCGAGAGAGAGAGAGAGAGACACACTCATATACACTGAGAGAGAGAAAGAGAGAGAGAGAGACGCACTCATACAGAGAGAAAGAGAGAGAGAGATGCACTCATATACACCGAGAGAGAGAGATGCACTCATACGCACCAAGAGAGAGACTGACTCATACACACCAAGAGAGAGAGACGCCCTAATACTCACCGAGCGAGAAAGACGCACTCACACAGACCAAGAGAGAGAGAGATGCACTCACACACACACTCACACAGGTGCACTCATACACACGAGAGAGAGACGCACTCCACACACCGAGTGAGAGAGCCGCACTCACACACCGAGAGAGAGAGAGAGACGCACTCATACACACAGAGAGAAAGACGCACTAACACACACCGAGAGAGAGAGAGAGAGAGAGGTGCGCTCATACACACCGAGAGAGAGAGAGACGCACTCATACACACCGAGAGAGAGAGAGAGAGACGCACTCATACACACCGAGAGAGAGAGATGCACTCACACACACCGAGAGAGAGAGACGCACTCATACACACAGAGAGAAAGACGCACTCACACACACCGAGAGAGAGAGACACACTCACACACACCGAGAGAGAGAGACGCACTCATACACACCGAGAGAGAGAGAGACACACTCACACACACCGAGAGAGAGAGACGCACTCATACTCACTGAGAGAGAGAGATGCACTCATACACAGAGAGAGAGAGACGGACTCATACACACCAAGAGAGTGAGACGCACTCAAACACACGGAGTGAGATGCACTCACACAGACCGAGAAAGAGAGAGATACACTCATACACACAGAGAGAGATGCACTCACATACACCGAGAGAGAGACACAATCTCACACACTGAGAGAGAGACACGCTCATATATAGAGAGAGAGAGACGCACTCATACTCACACCGAGAGAGAGAGACGGACTCATACTCACTGAGAGAGAAAGACGCACTCACACAGACCAAGAGAGAGACGCGCTCACACACACACACACAGGTGCACTTATATACACGAGAGAGAGACGCACTCACACACACAGAAGGAAAGACGCACTCACACACACCAAGAGAGAGAGAGAGGTGCGCTCATACACACTGAGAGACATTCATACACACCGAGAGAGAGAGACGCACTCATACACACCGAGAGAGAGAGAGAGAGAGATACACTCACATACACAGAGAGAGAGAGAGAGAGAGAGAGAGATACACTCACACACTCCGAGTGAGAGAGAGAGAGAGAGAGACGTACTCATACACACCGAGAGAGAGAGATGCACTTATACACACCAAAAGAGAGAGAGATGCACTCATACACACCGAGAGAGAGAGACGCACTCATACTCAAACCGAGAGAGAGATGTACTCACACACACACACACACACACAGGTGCACTCATACACATGAGAGAGAGACGCACTCATACTCAAACCGAGAGAGAGATGTACTCACACACACACACACACACACAGGTGCACTCATACACATGAGAGAGAGACGCACTCCACACACCGAGTGAGAGAGACGCACTCACACACACCGAGAGAGAGAGAGAGACGCACTCATACACAGAGAGAGAGAGAGAGAGACGCACTCACACACACCGAGAGAGAGGGAGAGAGGTACTCATACACACAGAGAAAGAGACGGACTCATACACACCAAGAGAGTGAGACGCACTCAAACACACGGAGAGAGATGCACTCACACAGACCGAGAAAGAGAGAGACGCAATCTCACACACCGAGAGAGAGAAAGAGACACTCACACAGATCGAGAGAGAGAGACGCACTCCACACACCGAGAGAGACCCACTCACACAGACCGAGAGAGAGACGCGCTCATATACAGAGAGAGAGAGAGAGACGCACTCATACTCACACAGAGAGAGAGAGACGCACTCATACTCACCGATCGAGGAAGACTCACTCACACAGGCCAAGAGAGAGAGAGACGCACTCACACATACGCACACACAAACACAGGTACACTCATACATAAGAGAGAGAGACGCACTCCAAGAGAGAGAGAGTGAGAGAGACGCACTCACACACACCGAGAGAGAGAAAGGCTCATACACACCGAGAGAGAGAGAGAGAGACGCACTCATGCACACCGAGAGAGAGAGAGAGAGAGAGAGAGAGAGAGACGCACTCATACGCACCGAGAGAGATGTACTAATACACAGTGAGAGAGAGGAGAGAGAGACGCACTCATACACACCGAGAGAGAGAGAGAGAGACGCACTCATACACACCGAGAGAGAGACACGCTCACACACACCAGAGAGAGAGACACAATCACACACACCAAGAGAGAAAGAGAATGAGACACACACTCATACACACCGAACTCACACAGACCAAGAGAGAGGGACACACTCACACACACCGAGAGAGAGAGTGACGCACTCACACACCGAGAGAGAGGGAGAGAGACGCACTCATACACAGAGAGAGAGAGACGCACTCATATGCACCGAGTGAGAGAGATGCACTCATACACACCGAGAGAGAGAGATGCACTCATACACACCGATAGTGAGAAAGGGAGAGATGCACTCACACACACCGAGAGGGAGAGAGACTCACACACACCGAGAGAAGCATTCACGTGCTCACACACACCAAGGGAGACCTACACTGTCTCACACACACAGAGTTCAGTGCCTCAGAGACGACCTTCAAATGGCTTATAATTTAGCTTTTCAGTAAAGGCTACCCCCACTTTTCTTAACTACTGATTGGATCACTTTCTTTCTTTGTTAACTCTTTATCACACACTTTTTTCAATCTGTGTTTCAGGGGAGAGTTGAGTGTAAAAGAGAATGAGCTGCTGGCTGCCTTGACGTCACTCACACAAGAACGGCAGAAGGTGTCTGGGCTCCAGGATCTGATGGAAGATGAGCGTCAGTACTTCAGAGAGAAAACTGAAGAGCAACAGCGGGAGCTGCAGGTAACAGCAGAAGTCCAGAGTGTACGGGTCGCTCTTTCGGTGTGTGTATGTCCCTCTCTCTTGGTGTGTGTGAGTGCCTCTCTCTCGGTGTTTGTGAGTGTATCTCTCTCGGTGTGTGTGAGTGCGTCTGTTTCGGTGTGTGTGAGTGCGTCTGTTTCGGTGTGTGTGAGTGCGTCTCTCTCGGTGTGTGTGAGTGCGTCTATTTCTCGGTGTGTGTGAGTGCGTCTCTTTCTCGGTGTGTGTGAGTGCGTCTCTCTTGGTGTGCGTGAGTGCGTCTCTCTCTCGGTGTGTGTGAGTCCTGTAGTCCTGTACTTGTGGAGTCCTGTAGCTCAGTGGATAGAGCACTCGCTTTGCAAGCGAGAGACCTGGGTTCGATTCCCAGCAGGGTGAAACCTTGGGCAAGTTTCATTACTCTACATGCCTGATAATAATCCCTCAAAGAAAAAAAATACTAAACTGGTCACTTCAATCCACGACTGTTTGTGGGACACTGCTGTGCGCAATTGGCTGCCGCATTTCGCCCACAAATATACAGTCAATTCACTTCACAGTCTATTCTGTGAAGAGCTTTGAGACATCTATGGAGTCCTGTAGCTCAGTGGTTAAAGCAATCGCTTTGCAAGCGAGAGACCTGAGTTCAATTCCAGGCAGAGGGCGAAACCTTGGGTAAGTTTCCTTACTCCACACAGAGCCTAATAATAATCTCTTCAAAAGGCCAAAAACAATAATAAATTGGTCATTTTCAATCTACGACTGTTTGTGGGACATTGCTGTGCGCAATTGGCTGCCGCGTTCGCCCACAAATATACTGTCAATTCACTTTACAGTGTGTGTTCTGTGAAGCGCTTTGGGATGTCCTCCTGACGTGAAAAGCGCTATATCAAATGCAAGGATTATTATTATTATTATTTTGGTCTCTCTCTCGGTGTATGTGACTGTGGGTCTCTCTGCGTGCGAGTGAGTGTGGGTCTCTCGGTGTGTGTGAGTATGGGTCTCTCGGTGTGTCTGAGTGTGGGTCTCTCTCAGTGTGTGTGAATGTGGGTGAGTGTGGATCTCTCGGTGTGTGTGAGTGTGTGTCTCTCTCGGTGTGTGTGTTAGTTTGGGGATCTCTCTTCTCAGTGTGTGTGAGTGTGAGTCTCTCTCGGTGTGTGTGAGTGTGGGTCTCTCTCGGTGTGTGTGAGTGTTGTCTCTCCGTCTTTGTGTGTGTGTGGGTTTCTCTCGGTGTGTGTGAGTGTGGGTCTGTCTCTCGGTTTGTGTGAGTGTGGGTCTGTCTCTCGGTGTGTGTGAATGTGGGTCACTCTTTGTGAGTGAGTGTGGGTCTGTCGCTCGGTGTGTGAGTGTGGCTCTCGGTGTGTGTGAGTGTGGGTCTCTCTCGATGTGTGTGAGTGTGAGTCTCTCTCAGTGTGTGTGAGTGTGTGTCTCTCAGTGTGTGTGAGTGTGGGTCTCACACGGTTTGTGTGAGTATGGGTCTCTCTAAGTGTGTGTGAGTGTGGATCTCTCGGTGTGTGTGAGTGTGGGTCTCTTTTGGTGTGTGTCAGTGTAGGGGGTCTCAGTATGGGTGAGTGTGTGTCTCTCTCAGTGTAGGTGAGTGTGGGTCTCTCTCTCGGTGTGTGTGAGTGTGGGTGTCTCTCTGTGTGTGAGTGTGTGTCTCTCAGTGTGTGTGAGTATTGGTCTCTCTAAGTGTGTGTGAGTGTGGATCTCTCGGTGTGTGTGTGAGTGTGGATCTCTGTGTGTGTGAGTGTGGGTCTGTCTCTCGGTGTGTGCGAGTGAGTCTCTCACTCTCTGTGTGTGAGTGTGGGCCTCTCTGTGTGTGAGTGTCGGTCTCGGTGTGTGTGAGAGTTTGTGTCTCTCGGTGTGAGAATGGATCTTTCACTCTCGGTTTGTGTGAGTGTGTGTCTCTTGTTGTGTGTGTGTGTGGGTCTCTCAGTCAGTGTGTGTGAGTGTAGGTGTCTCTCTGTGTGTGAGTGTGAGTCTCTCTCGGTGTGTGCGAGTGAGTCTCTCACTCTCTGTGTGTGAGTGTGGGCCTCTCTTTGTGTGTGAGTGTGGGTCTCGGTGTGTGTGAGAGTTTGTGTCTCTCGGTGTGAGAATGGATCTTTCACTCTTGGTTTGTGTGAGTGTGTGTCTCTTGTTGTGTGTGTGTGTGGGTCTCTCAGTCAGTGTGTGTGAGTGTAGTTGTCTCTCTGTGTGTGAGTGTGAGTCTCTCTCGGTCTGTGTGAGTGTGGGTCTCTCTCGGTGTCTTTGAGTGTGGTCTCTCCCTCTCTGTGTGTGAGTGTGGGTTTTCCTATGTGAGTGTGAGTCTCTCTCGGTGTGTGTGAGTGTGTGTCTCTCAGTGTGTATGAGTGTGTGTCTCTCAGTGTGTGTGAGTGTGGGTCTCACACGGTGTGTGTCAGTATGGGTCTCTCTCAGTGTGTTTGAGTGTGGATCTCTCGGTGTGTGACTGTGGGTCTCTCTTGGTGTGTGGGTGTCTCTCAGTGTGGGTGAGTGTGGGTCTCTTTCTCGGTGGGTGTGAGTGTGGGTCTCTCTCGGTGTGTGTGAGTGTGGGTGTCTCTGTGTGTGACTGTGGGTTTCTCTCAGTGTGTGTGAGTGTGGATCTGTCTCGGTGTGTGTGAGTGTGGGTCTCTCTCTCATTATGTGTTAGTGTGGGTTTCTTTCTGAGTGTGTGTGAGTGTGGATCTCTCTCAGTGTGTGAGTGTGGGTCTCTCAGTGTGAGTGTGTCTCTCTCAGTGTGTGTGTCACACGGTGTGTGTGAGTATGGGTCTGTCTAAGTATGTGTGAGTGTGGGTCTCTCGGTGTGTGTGAGTATGGGTCTCTCTAATTGTCTGTGAGGCTGGGTCTTTCGGTGTGTGTGAGTGTGGGTCTCTCGGTGTGGGTGAGTGTGGGTCTCTCTGGGTGTGTGTGTGTGTGTTTGGGTCTCTTGGTGTATGTGAGTGTGGGTCTGTCTCTTGGTGTGTATGAGTGTGGGTCTGGTTGTGTGTGTGTGTGCGTGTGTGTGTGTTTGGGTCTCTCTCGGTGTGTGTGAGTGTGGGTCTCTCTCTCGGTGTGTGTGAGTGTGGGTCTCTCTGGGTGTGTGTGTTAGTTTGGGGGTCTCTCTCTCAGTATGTGTGAGTGGGGTCTCTCTCAGTGTGTGTGAGTGTGTGTCTCTCTCAGTGTGTGTGAGTGGGTCTCACTCGGTGTGAGTGAGTGTGGGTCTCTCTAAGTGTGTGTGAGTGTGGGTCTCTCGATGTGTGTGAGTGTGGGTCTCTCTCAGTGTGGGTGAGTGTGGGTCTCACTCGGTGTGTGTGAGTATGGGTCTCTCTAAGTGTGTGTGAGTGTGGGTCTCTTGGTGTGTGTGAGTGTGGGTCTCTCTCAGTGTGGGTGAGTGTGGGTCTCGGTGTGTGTGAGAGTTTCTGTCTCTCGGTGTGAGAATGGATCCTTCACTCTCGGTTTGTGTGTGTGTGTGCGTCTCTCAGTCAGTGTGTGTGAGTGTGGGTGTCTCTCTGTGTGTGAGTGTGAGTCTCTCTCGGTGTGTGTGAGTGTTGGTCTCTCGGTGTGTGTGAGTGTGGGTGTCTCTCTGTGTGTGATTGTGGGTCTCTCTCAGTGTGGGTGAGTGTGGGTCTCTGTGTGTGTGAGTGTGGGTCTCTCGGTGTGTGTGAGTGTGGGTCTGTCTCTCGGTGTGTGCGAGTGAGTCTCTCACTCTGTGTGTGAGTGTGGGTCTCGGTGTGTGTGAGAGTTTGTGTCTCTCGGTGTGAGAATGGATCTTTCACTCTCGGTTTGTGTGAGTGTGTGTCTCTTGGTGTGTGTGTGTGTGTGTGGGGGTCTCTCAGTCAGTGGGTGTGAGTGTGGATGTCTCTCTGTGTGTGAGTGGGAGTCTCTCTCCGTGTGTGTGAGTGTGGGTCTCTCTCGGTGTGTGTGAGTGGTGGGTCTCTCTCCATGTGTGTGAGTGTGGGTCTCTCTCGGTGTGTGTGTGTGCGTCTCTAACTGTGATTGAGTGTGGGTCTGTCTGGGTGTGTGTGTTAGTTTGGGGGTCTCTCTCTCGGTGTGTGTGAGTGTGGGTCTGTCTCTTGGTTTGTGTGAGTGTTGGTCTCTCTCTCCGTGTGTGTGAGTGCGGTGTTTCTCTCGGTGTGTGTGAGTGGGGTCTCTCAGTGTGTGTGAGTGTGTGTCTCTCGGTGTGTGTGAATGTGGGTCTCTCTCAGTGTGGGTGAGTGTGGGTCTCTCTCTCGCTGTGTGTGAGTGTGGGTCTCTCTGGGTGTGTGTGTTAGTTTGGGGGTCTCTCTCTCGGTATGTGTGAGTGTGGGTCTCTCTCCGTGTGTGTGAGTGTGTGTCTCTCTCAGTGTGGGTGAGTGTGGGTCTCACTCGGTGTGTGTGAGTATGGGTCTCTCTAAGTGTGTGTGAGTGTGGGTCTCTCGGTGTGTGTGAGTGTGGGTCTCTCTCAGTGTGGGTGAGTGTGGGTCTCGGTGTGTGTGAGAGTTTCTGTCTCTCGGTGTGAGAATGGATCCTTCACTCTCGGTTTGTGTGTGTGTGTGTGTGTCTCTCAGTCAGTGTGTGTGAGTGTGGGTGTCTCTCTGTGTGTGAGTGTGAGTCTCTCTCGGTGTGTGTGAGTGTGGGTCTCTCTAAGTGTGTGTGAGTGTGGGTCTCTCGGTGTGTGTGAGTGTGGGTCTCTCTAAGTGTGTGTGAGTGTGGGTCTCTGTGTGTGTGAGTGTGGGTCTCTCGGTGTGTGTGAGTGTGGGTCTGTCTCTCGGTGTGTGCGAGTGAGTCTCACTGTGTGTGAGTGTGGGCCTCTCTGTGTGTGAGTGTGGGCCTCGGTGTGTGTGAGAGTTTGTGTCTCTCGGTGTGAGAATGGATCTTTCACTCTCGGTTTGTGTGAGTGTGTGTCTCTTGGTGTGTGTGTGTGTGGGTCTCTCAGTCAGTGGGTGTGAGTGTGGATGTCTCTCTGTGTGTGAGTGGGAGTCTCTCTCGGTGTGTGTGAGTGCATCTCTCTCTCTCGGTGTATATGAGTGCATCTCTCTCTCTCTTTCTCTCTGTATGAGTGCGTCTCTCTCTCTCTCTTTCTCTCTCTCAGTGTATATGAGTGTGTCTCTCTCTCTCTCTCGGTGTGTGTGTGTGCGTCTCTAACTGTGATTGAGTGTGGGTCTGTCTGGGTGTGTGTTAGTTTGGGGGTCTCTCTCTCGGTGTGTGTGAGTGTGGGTCTGTCTCTTGGTTTGTGTGAGTGTTGGTCTCTCTTTCGGTGTGTGTGAGTGTGGTGTTTCTCTCGGTGTGTATGAGTGTGGGTCTCTCTGGGTGTGTGTGTTAGTTTGGGGGTCTCTCTCTGTGTGTGAGTGTGAGTCTCTCTCGGTGTCTTTGAGTGTGGTCTCTCCCTCTCTGTGTGTGAGTGTGGGTTTCCCTATGTGAGTGTGAGTCTCTCGGTGTGTGTGAGTGTGGGTCTCTCTGTGTGTGTGTGTGTGTGAGTTTGGGTCTCTCTCGGTGTGTGTGAGTGTGGGTCTTTCTCAGTGTGGCTGAGTGTGGGTCTTTCTCAGTGTGGGTTAGTGTGGGTCTCTCGGTGTGTGTGAATGTGGGTCTCTCTCAGTGTGTGTGAGTGTGGGTCTCTCTCAGTGTGTGTGAGTGTGGGTCTCTCTCAGTGTGGGTGAGTGTGGGTCTCTGTGTGTGTGAGTGTGGGTCTGTCTCTCGGTGTGTGCGAGTGAGTCTCTCACTCTCTGTGTGTGTGGGTCTCTCAGTCAGTGTGTGTGAGTGTGGGTGAGTGTGGGTCTCTGTGTGTGTGAGTGTGGGTCTGTCTCTCGGTGTGTGCGAGTGAGTCTCTCACTCTCTGTGTGTGTGGGTCTCTCAGTCAGTGTGTGTGAGTGTGGGTGTCTCTCTGTGTGTGAGTGTGAGTCTCTCGGTGTGTGTGAGTGTGGGTCTCTCTCGGTGTCTTTGAGTGTGGTCTCTCCCTCTCTGTGTGTGAGTGTGGGTTTCCCTATGTGAGTGGGTCTCTCTGGGTGTGTGTGTGTGTGTGAGTTTGGGTCTCTATGAGTGTGTGTGTGAGTGTGGGTCTCTCTCCGTGTGTGTGAGTGTGGATCTTTCTCAGTGTGTGTGAGTGTGGGTCTCTCGGTGTATGTGATTGTGGGTCTCTCTCAGTGTGTGTGAGTGTGGGTCTCTCGGTGTATGTGAGTGTGGGTCTCTCTCAGTGTGGGTGAGTGTGGGCCTCTCGGTGTGTGTGAGTGCGTGTGTCTCTCAGTGTGTGTGAGTGTGGGTCTCACTCGGTGTGTGTGAGTATAGGTCTCTCTAATTGTCTGTGAGGCTGGGTCTCTCGGTGTGTGTCAGTGTGGGTCTGTCTAAGTGTGGGTGAGTGTGGATCTCTCGGTGTGTGTGAATGTGTGTCTCTCTCTGTGTTTGAGTGAGTGTGGTTCTCTCTCGGAGTGTGTGAGTGTGGTTCTCTCGGTGTGTGTGTGAGTGCGACTCTCTCTCTCGGTCTATGTGAGTGTGTCTCTCTCGTTGTGTGCGAGTGATTCTCTCACTCTCTGTGTATGAGTGTGGGCCTCTCTTTGTGTGTGAGTGTGGGCCTCGGTGTGTGTGAGAGTTTGTGTCTCTCGGTTTGAGAATGGATCTTTCACTCTTGGTTTGTGTGAGTGTGTGTCTCTTGGTGTTTGTGTGTGCGGGTGTCTCAATCAGTGTGTGTGAGTGTGGGTCTCTCTCGGTGTGTGTGAGTGTGGGTCTCTCTCAGTGTGTGAGTGTGGGTCTCTCTCTGTGTGTGAGTGTGGGTCTCTCTCAGTGTGTGTGTGCGTCTCTCTCGGTGTGTGTGTGTGGGTCTCTCTCAGTGTGTGAGTGTGGGTCTCTCTCAGTATGGGTCTCTCTCTCTCTCCCTCTCTGTGTGAATGTGAGTTTCTCTCTCAGTGCGTGTGTCTTACACCACCCCATCCCGATCCGTCAACACCAGCCACTCTCTCCGCCATGGCTCCTACCACTCTCCCTCCCTACACTCTACCTGCCCCCAATTCTTCCCCCCTGCCTCTCAATCACCATTTCTTACATGAAATTGACCACCTGCTGCCTTGAATGCCTCTCCAACCAGTTGGTCGCTCAACTCCCCTCTTCTCTCTCCTCTGTTGGCAAACGCAGTTGTTCTCCACTCACCCGTAAAACCACTGTCATCACTCCCCTCCTCAAATGTATGAGGTTGACACCCAAATCTGCTGCCACTCCAGGTCTGCTGATGTCATGTCAGCTTGTCTGGTGGACATCAGGGATTGGATGAGCATAAACTTCCTGCAGTAAATGTTGTCAAGACGGAAGCCATACTTCTGTGGCTCTGATCTTCTCAAACTCCCCGGTCTATCTGTGACTCACCGAACCTAGGCATCAGGTTCGATCCCCAGCTGTCCTTCCTTTCCCACTTCCGATCCCTGACCAGTACCGCCTTCCTCCACCTCGCTGTATTGTCTGCCTCCGACCGTACCAAAACACAGCCGAAACACTTGTCCATGGGTTTGTCACCTCCCACCTAAACTACTCAAATGCCCACCTCGCCGGTTTCCCAGCTCCACTATACACAAAATTCAGTTAATCCAGAACTCCGCCACTTGCATACTCAATAATCACTGAATTTTGCTTGACCCTCATGATCACCGTCGGTGATCACTCTTTTAGCCACTACGCCCCGATACTCTGGAACACTCTCACTCAATCTCTCCGCCTTGCCCCCTATCTTCAGGTCACGTCTGAAGGCCTTCCGCTTCAACCGTGCTTATGGTCACGGCCCCCACTGTCAAGCAATCTGGAATGCTACCTTGTGTGAGGGGCTCTAAATTAATACAAGTTGTTGTTGACCTGGTTTGTATCTTTCCACATTGCATTGCCAATTCAGTCCCAATCTCCTGGGGCTTTGTGTGCACTAACAATGTTTCCTGACTTGGAATCGGAGCCTGTGGCGTATGAACATGTGATTTTGCTGTTTTATCTGGATTTTGTCCAGCGTAACTCTGTCGGATTGTAAATAGTTTTTCTTTTGTCAGGAGTTGCAGTGTGCTCTGGAGCAACACGCGGGCAGCACTGCGCTCTCCGTTAGCCTCCAGCAACAGCGGGCGGTCCAGCACAGCCCACCCCTGTACATTGAGCCTGAGTCCTGGCTGCTGAGCAACCAGTGCAGCCAGCAGGTGGCTGAGCAGCTTGACAGCGGCCTACAGCAGAAGTCGCAGCCCTCACAGGAGCATGTTTTCATGCAGGAGCTGCAGAGGCAGCTGGAAAAGGAGAGAAACCGGACGGTGGAGCTCGCCGCCATGATTGAGAAGACCCAGCAGCAGATGATTGCAGCAAAACGCCAGCTGGAAACCGAGATCCAGCTGAGCCGGCAAGAAAGCCAGAGAGAGCATGAGGTCAGCTCCCACCTGCGCTCCACCCTGCACTCAGTGCAGGAACAAGCCCAAGAACTGAGCCGCCTGCTCCAGGCTGAACGGCAGCACGGACTGCAGCTCCAGGCTCACGGCAAGCGTCTCCAGGATGCCGTGCTGATAGTCAAGCGGCGGGAGCGGAGCCAGAGCAGGCAGAGAGCACGGGAGAAGAGAGAGGAGAGTCAGGCGCTGGCCAAGAGCGAGCAAAGCCATGACAGGACCAGGGAGAGAATGGTAACAAAGCAATTATTTTGCTCTTTTCCCCATGGGATTGAATGGGTTAGAATGTATTTTGGGTCTGATCTGACTGAACTCTGACCCCTGATTGCATGGCCTCTCTGCAGCGGGCACTGGAGGAGCAGTTCCAGGGGGAACAGCAACGAGGACAACAGCTGCAGCAGATGTTGGCAGAGCTGGAGGAGCAGGAGCGCAACCTAACATCCCGCACACACCAGCAGGTGGAGGGGCACCGCATCCTCCTGACCAGCAGTTTCCGTGCCCCCACATCCAGTGTTGAAGACGACAAGGAACCTCAGTTCATCACTCACCTCAGTGAGCTCCTGCAGAGCACCAGAAACCAGTATGTGGCCTGTCTCTCTCCACACCTCCAACACTGTCCCTCTCTCTCTCTCCACACCTCTAACACTGTCTCTCTCTCTCTCTCTTCGCACCTCTAACACTGTCTGTCTCTCTCTCCGCACCTCTAACACTGTCTGTCTCTCTCTCCGCACTTCTACCACTGTCTGTCTCTCTCTCCACACCTCTAACACTGTCTGTCTCTCTCTCCGCACTTCTAACACTGTCTGTCTCTCTCTCCGCATCTCTAACACTGTCTCTCTCCACACCTCTAACACTGTCTCTCCCTCTCTCCACACCTCTAACACTGCCTGTCTGTCTCTCCACACTTCTAACCCTGTCTGTCTGTCTCTCCACACTTCTAACCCTGTCTGTGGCTCTAACATTGATAATAATAATAATAATAATAATCCTTGCATTTGATATAGCGCTTTTCACGTCGGGAGGACGTCCCAAAGCGCTTCACAGAACACACTGTAAAGTGAATTGACTGTATATTTGTGGGCGAACGCGGCAGCCAATTGCGCACAGCAATGTCCCACAAACAGTCGTAGATTGAAAATGACCAATTTATTATTTTTGGGGGGTTTTGGAGGGATTATTATTAGGCTCTGTGTGGAGTAAGGAAACTTGCCCAAGGTTTCGCCCTCTGCCTGGAATTGAACTCAGGTCTCTCGCTTGCAAAGCGAGTGCTCTAACCACTGAGCTACAGGACTCCACGTCTCTTGATGTGTAGGATGCAGCGTGGAAACCCTCTCTGTTCCTCTCATCTCGTTCTAGATTTGTTTCCAGACTTAACTCTTTAACTCTCTCAGTCATCTTTCCCACCCCACCCAGCTTCGGCTCCCACTGCCTACTCAGGTGCCCAGTTGACAGTATAAAATGCTTTGAAGTGTCCTCCCTGTATGAAAAGGGGTGTAGCAATGTCAATTGTATGATAGTAGTGCTGTGTCTTGCCCACCACCCCCAGTGAGCACCGAGAGAAAGGATATTCCATAGATACACACCCGCTAAGTGCTCAGCTCCAGCCACTTGTGTGTCCGCAGACTGGAGACAGGTGGTATGAGGACTGAAGAGGAAGTTGTGAACCTATTGGGTTCCCTGTCAGAAATCAGCTGTGACGTGCAGCAGCTTTACTCCAGGCCTCAGGTGAGTGGGGTCAAGATGTGAGAGCGCTACAGCGACAGAGCCCAGGCTAATGTCCTGTAATCTGCTCTTGTTCACTTTTGCTTCTTCCTCTATTGTCTAACGGGGGAACGATGACTGAGACTGGCAGGCTCACACCGAGAGCAGCTGAGGTCAGCTGGCACCCTTGTTCATCCTATACCTCTCAGCCCAACACTCTGACAACACAGTGCGCATCCTGCAATGCGTTCCCCCGCGCCAACCCTCACAGCGGCCTGGTTTGCTTGCTCACCAGTGGGTGGGGGGGTAGTATCTGTTCTGCCAGCTGCTGAGTTTCAGCTGCTCTATATGTCTCTCCTCTCAGGGCTCCGTGTCTCTTGTGGATCGTTTGCTGAGGGAGAATGCAGAGCTGAGAAATTCTGTGGCCAAGCTTTGTGAGGAGAGAGGCCACATGAGCAAACTGACAGTAGAGCAGCAGGTCTGCAGGCACACAGGAGCTAAGCAGCTCAGTGCGCATGGAGCTCACAACCTCCGTTTAATTTTTACTTCATCCTCTTGTCTCCCTCACAAACCTGTGCCTCACATATTATTTCAGGCCAGACCCACAGGCTGTGGAGATGCTGAACGGGCAGCCTGGTCCACAGAGAGGAGTCAGATACTCAACGCCCTAAAAGAGGTTGAGCTGCAGCTGGCCGGAGTGCTGGCCGAGATCGAAAACCGGCCTCTCCTGTATGAGCCTACCGACAGCTGCAACACCAAGGTCAGTGACAGGCCCATCCTGCCCAGCATTCTCAGCAAATCCATCCTGGAGTTCCCCCGCCTCTGACTTTATGCTCCACCTTAAAGATTTTTCGACTGTGCTCACAGACACTTCCCTCCCCCAGTTCAGTCTCCCAGAAAGCTGTGTGAGGCACTTTGAAACATCTTCACCATGTGAAAAGAATTGCGCAAAAGTAAATGTGATTTTCTGTGTAGGTGACTGGCTCACACTGTGCTGTGTGTGTGTGTGACTGGCTCACACTGTGCTGTGTGTGTGTGTGTGTGACTGGCTCACACTGTGCTGTGTGTGTGTGTGACTGGCTCACACTGTGCTGTGTGTGTGACTGGCTCACACTGCTGTGTGTGTGTGTGACTGGCTCACACTGTGCTGTGTGTGTGACTGGCTCACACTGTGCTGTGTGTGTGTGTGACTGGCTCACACTGTGCTGTGTGTGTGACTGGCTCACACTGTGCTGTGTGTGTGTGTGTGACTGGCTCACACTGTGCTGTGTATGTGTGTGACTGGCTCACACTGTGCTGTGTGTGTGACTGGCTCACACTGCTGTGTGTGTGTGTGACTGGCTCACACTGTGCTGTGTGTGTGACTGGCTCACACTGTGCTGTGTGTGTGTGTGACTGGCTCACACTGTGCTGTGTGTGTGTGTGACTGGCTCACACTGCTGTGTGTGTGACTGGCTCACACTGTGCTGTGTGTGTGACTGGCTCACACTGTGCTGTGTGTGTGGTGACTGGCTCACACTATGCTGTGTGTGTGTTTTTGTGACTGGCTCACACTGTGCTGTGTGTGTGTGACTGGCTCACACTGCTGTGTGTGTGACTGGCTCACACTATGCTCTGTGTGTGTGTGTGTGTGACTGGCTCACACTATGCTCTGTGTGTGTGTGACTGGCTCACACTGCTGTGTGTGTGACTGGCTCACACTATGCTCTGTGTGTGTGTGTGACTGGCTCACACTATGCTGCGTGTGTGTGCGACTGGCTCACACTATGCTCTGTGTGTGTGTGTGTGTGACTGGCTCACACTATGCTCTGTGTGTGTGTGTGACTGGCTCACACTATGCTGTGTGTGTGTGTGACTGGCTCACACTATGCTCTGTGTGTGTGTGTGACTGGCTTACACTATGCTGTGTGTGTGTGTGTGACTGGCTCACACTTTGCTCTGTGTGTATGTGTGACAGGCCTACATTACTATGTGTGCGACTCACTCTATGTGCAGATGCAGCGACTGTACAGCAAGTATTTGCGGGCAGAGAGTTTCCGCAAGGCGCTGGTCTACCAAAAGAAATATCTATTGCTGCTTTTGGGAGGATTCCAGGATTGTGAGCAGGCAACACTCTCGCTGATTGCAAGGATGGGAGTTTATCCGTCTCCCTCAGACCTGCTCATTCCGTGCCAGCGTTCCCGTGCCTTCACCAGGTTCCGCTCTGTGACACGAGTGGTCATTGCAATCTCCAGGTGAGAGAACACCTACCATCTGTTCCTTGCCAGCTGCAATGATTTCTGTTACAGAACAGGTTTGAGCTATTGCGCCCCGAACCTCTGGAGCTCCAACAACAACTTACACTTATATAGCGCCCTCCACGCAGGGTATTGTCTCAGAGCGCTTAACCGTGTCAGAGCCTGACTCAGACTGGGGGAGTGGAGAGGTGGCCGTAAGCACAGTCGAACAGAAAGGCTTCAGGTGGGACTTGAAAGAGGGGAGAGAGGGGACAAGCCGGAGGGATTGAGGGAGGGATGAGCAGGAGGCCAGTACCAGTGGAGCGGAGGCGCCAGGTGGTGGATTGGGGAGTGAGGAGGTCGGAGAGGTGCGGAGTTAATGGATTTGAACACGAGAGTGAGGATCTTGAAGTGAATCCGTTTGGTGATGGGGAGCCATCGGAGCTTAGCCAGAATTGGTGAGTTGTGGGTACGGAGTTTGGTTCAGGTCAGTATACGGGCAGCAGAGTTTTAAATGAGCTGGATTTTGTGAATGATGGAGCTGTGGAGACCGGTGAGAAGTACATTGGGAATAATCCAAACGGGAAGTGACAAACGCATGCACAAAGGTTTCAGCTGCACTTAGGGTAAGGTACGGTCGGAGGTGGACAATATGGCGGAGGTGGAAGAAAGTGTTCCTGGTCAGGGACTGGATGTGGGGGAGGAAGGACAGTTGGCGGTTGAACCGGACGCCTAGATTGCGTACTAGTTCGGTGAGTCTGAGGGAGAGCCCAGGGAGGTTGAGGAGTTTAGATCCACAGGAGTGAAGATGTTGACGGGAGCCAAGGAGTATGGCTTCTGTCTTTTCCATATTCAGCTGCAGGAAGTTTATACTGATCCAGGCCTTGATATCTGCCAGACAAGCTGATAGAACATCGACAGACCTGGAGTTGGTGCTGGAGGAGGCAAAGTAGATTTGTGTGTTATTCACATACATGTGGAAGTTTACACCATGTCTGTGGATGATGTCACCCAGAGGGAGCATAGAGAAAAGGAAAAGAAGAGGGCCAAGGGTGGAGTCCTGGGGTACCCTGTAGATGACCAGGCGGGGGCGGGAGGAGAAACCATTTGCTGAGATGAAATGGAGGCGGTTGGTTCAGTAGGACTCGAATCATGCGAGTGCAATCCCACTAAAGTAGATGAGGGAGGAGAGTCAATCGAGGAGGATGGCATGGTCGACTGTGTCGAATGCAGCAGAGAGATCCAGGAGGACGAGGAAGCAGAGAGAGCCCTGGTCACAGATAGAGGATGTTGTTTGTGACTTTGACAAGCGCTGTCTCTGTGCTGCGGGCAGGGCGAAAACCAGACTGCAGGGGCTCGAGGAGGGAGAGGTGTGACCGAAGTTGACCTGCAACAAAAACAGGATTTTGGCAAAGAAGAGTAGGTTGGAGATGGGACGGTAGTGTGAGAGATTAGAGGGATCGAGAGTGGGTTTTTTGAGGAGGAGTGTGATAACGGCGTTTTTCAGGGGGAGTGGAACAAAGCCTGAGGAGAGTGACTGGTTGACTGTGTTGGCCAGCAGTGGGGAGAGAAGGGGGAGTTGAGTGACCAGCAGCTGGGTGGGGATGCAGTCAAGGTAGCAGATGATGAACTTCACCACCTGTTACCTGCCTCAATCCCTCCACCTCACCCCCACTTTGCCCTCTTTCAGAGTGTGTCTGAAGACTTTCCTCTTCAACTGTGCCTATGGTCAGCTCTCGTCAAACTCTGTCATTGTTAACCTCCGAAATGCTATCTGTATGTGAAGGGCACTGTCTGACTGCCTGCGTGGAGGGGGCTGTGTGACTGCCTGCGTGGAGGGGGCTGTGTGACTGCCTGCGTGGAGGGGGCTGTGTGACTGCCTGCGTGGAGGGGGCTGTGTGACTGCCTGCGTGGAATGCAAGTTGTTGTTCCACCTTCTGTCCCTGCCCCTCCCCTCCCCTTCAGGCATCCCTCACAGTGCATACCTGCCCCCTCCACCCCCCCAGTCTGTTTCCTACTCTTACCATCTGACTGTCCTCTTCTCTGGCAAATCACCAAATCAAATGTCCTCTTCTCTGGCAAATCACCACCAAATCACCACCTCACGGTTAGACTCTAAACAAGCTGTAACTGGTGTTTCATGACTCTTGTCTGCTCAGACTCAGCTTCCTGGTGAAGAAATGGCGGAAAGCAACATGCCGAGGTCTGCACTCTACAGTGAACAACACAGGACACAGCCCAGGTCAGGGGTCAATGCACAGCCCAGGTCAGAGGCTGACTCTTTCTCATAGGGTGGCACTCACTGCTGGAGGCTGTGTAAAAGGCATCCCCTAGCCTTGGTTCTGCAAATATACACAGCAGCTTGTGCCACAAACTGAGGCCAACTTTGTAGATTGTTTTAAAAGGGAATTGGATATAGGTACTTAAAAAGGAAAAAAATTGCAGGGCTATGGGGTAACAGTGCGAGAGTGGGACTAGTTAGTAGACATGATGTGCCAAATGGCCTTCTGTGCTGTAAAATTCTATGAAAAAGGAGGGAGAGGGCGAGGTGGAGGGACTCTGGGAGTTTTTATATGGTGAATAGTCTAAGGGTCAGTAACTCATATCTTTACGGTCATGACCAAAATCCGAAGGGACGCACTAGTTAGTGTTTTACATGGACTGTGGACTGAACTATGTGGTGAAGCAGAATGCACAGGAGCTTTTAATAGGGAATTCAACACTTGTTGTTTGATGCGTTCTCTCTGTCCACCTGGTGCTGGGTGCAGCCTGAGACGTGAGTGTTGTGTGGCCGCAGCACTGAGCAGACACAGTGCTGCTTTGGTCGTTCGCTGCTGACCTGAGGCCTTGTGATTGCAGTCAGCCCGAGGGGAGAGGTGGTTCGCCAACAGCAAACTTACTCCAGTCACAGCACCAACTCGCCGCCCACTCGAGATCGTGGCTCCAGCTGCCGGCCTCACCTCCAGCCATCCAAACCACCCATCCAGCTCCAACACAGGTCAGGCATCCCCTAGCGCTGATCTCTCTCGTCTGGAGCTCTAGTGAATTCAGGCTGCATGTGCTTGGGTCAGTTGGTTGCATTCTCCCCTGAGTCAGAAGGTTGTGGGGACTTTGAAATGACAGTATTGGCCGACGCTGGGGGAGTGCAACATTGTTAGAGGTTCATCCTTTAGAGGACACCCAGAGGTCCCTTCTCCCTGTTCACGTGGATGTCCTGTGGTACTATTCAAACAAGAAAGGAGTTTCTCTCTTCTGGTGTTGTGGCCAACAATTCCCCAGATAGAATTGGTCACTCACTCCATGGCTGTTTGCTCAAACTGGCTGTTGCGTTGAACCACAAAATAGTGATTGTATTTTACAGTAAATCCTGTGAAGCGCTTTGAGATGTTTTGATGACACAATAATTTGTGATATTAAATACAGTAAAACTCACATAAGTCATATCATTTGGGACTACGACATTTAATATGACTTATACAAAGTCCACGTTGCAGGCAAACTTGTATAAGTCATATAAAATCGGATATAATCAATAACCTGCAAAGTGCATGCATAATTCAATGCAGCCAGTAACTGTGCATGCGGTGACAGGTCAGGACTATATGATTCAATGCGTCTTGACCGATCGCTACATGTGCACTTACTGGCAAGCTGTGGAATTGCAATGAATCGCAGGAAATGAAGTTCTTCTATACATGTGGCGTTAGGTCAAGACTAAGTTTCCCTAGATTCAAAGCAGCTGGTGAATGCAAGAGTAATGGAGCATAGGGGAGCAGTGTTACGAGTCAGGAGATGATTAATACGACTAGTGTAAAGTGGTTTAGATCGGACACTGAATGGGACTCGGGTGCAAGTATGATTTAGGCCAGGGTGATTCAATTGACGGCCTGGGGGGTGATTCCTTCCGGCCCAAGAGCCATTTCCAACTTCAGGAAGTGTGTCAGGAACTCGCTGTGGAATTGAGGAGAAGGCAAACAACTCTCCTTACCCACTGCATCCAGCCACTGCCACATAGTGAGCCACACAGCGCATGCGTCCAGCAGAGAGGCCATTCTTGCTGCCAGACAGTGACATGCCCTCCCATGGCGATTGGCCTCTTGACAGATAGTGAGATCATTTTAAACGGGATCCACACCGGGCTCCCCTTGATCTCACAAGAACGCCTGTCACCCTCTCAAGTGACCCTCTCACACTCACCATCCAGCAGCTTCTTCACAGCAAAGGTGACTCTTTCCCCAGTGAGAAACTCCTCTACAACCTTCAATTCCTCCCATCCTCCTTCCCACCTTACCTCTGCCATCTCCCGCCCGGCCCTTGCTTGATTCTCTGTTTGCCCTAAGTGGGAGCGGCCTTTACCTCTCTCTGCTCCAGCCTGGGAATCTTCCATGGGCTCATCGTGGCACTCAGCGTTGGCTGTCCAGCAGCAGCCGCACCGATGCCCCATTCCCCACTACCGCCGCAAGCCACCCCCCAGACCCAGTGGGCTAACCTCCTCCCTCATCCGCATCCACCCTCCTTGCCAACCAATCCACTACCCCCTACTATCCCACACATCCCCCTGCCAACTGTACACTCCGCATTGGCCTTCAAACCGTCTGCTCCATCTGCAAGAAGACCCTGGCCACCAATTATCTCATTCTCGATGAGAACGTTGATATTACGGCCCTCGCGGAAATCTGGATCACCCCAGGTGACACCTTGCCCCTCACTGAGGCCACACCACCCGGCTATACCTAACACCACGCCCCACACCCCAAACCGACGTGGTGGTGGTGGCCATCATTTCCAGGGCGTCACATCCCCCTACTCCACTGGCTCATTCCCCTCTTTTGAACACCTTACCCTCTGCCATCTCTCATTAAAAATTCTCCTAATTTACCGTCCCCCAAAATCCTCCCCCACCTTCATCTCTGACATCTCCACCCTTCGAGCTTCCCTCTTCCTCTGCTCCGACCGCCTAATCATCCTGGGCGACTTCAACCTCCACTTCACCCCCTCCTGCTCCACCTCCTCTCTCAACCTCTCCCTCCCACGTTAACGGCCACCCGCTCGACCTAGTGATCACCTGGGGCCTCAGCGTCTCACCATCAACGACAAGGTCATCTCTGACCACCATTTCATCTCCCTCAACTCCTATATCCCTCTTCCCACTGCCTCCAAACCTACCACTATCTCCCACCGCCCGTGGAAGAAGATCTCCCCGCAATCCCTCTCCGCTGCCCTGGAGTCCTCTGAACTCCTCCCCACCTCCTGCACCAACCCATCCTCTGTTTACTCTCCTCCACAGCACCCTCTCCGCCACCCTTGCCCCCCTCACCTCCCAAACTGCCTCCTATTCTCGATCCTCACCCTGGTTCACCAGCCACCTCCACTCGTTCAAGGGCCAGGTGCGGACTGCCGAACGCACTTGGCTCAAATCTGGCCTAACGGTCCAAAGGACCACATCAAAACCTACCGCTCCGCTCTTGACTCAGCTCAATGGTCCTCCTATTCCAGGTTAATCCTTGCGGCGAAGGGCAACCCCAGACTCCTGTTCACCACCACCAACCGGTTCATCGGTGCTCCCCGCCACGCCTTGCAGATTCTTTCCTCCAACTCCCACTGCGAGGAAATGCTGGACTTCCTTGAGTCCAAAATTGAGGGAATCCGCTCAGCTTCCACCCTCTCCCTGCACGCCCCCCCCACCACACTCAGACCACTACCCATCCCTCCTTCCACACCTTTGAACCTGTCACCTCCTCCTCCATCACCACCATATCCTCCATGAAGCTCACCACCTGCTCCCTGGACCCCATTCCCCACCCCTTTCCTTAAATCCCAGCTCCTTGCCCCACTACTCACCCCAACATCATCAACCTCTCCCTGTCATCTGGCACTGTTCCACTCAAAACAGCCACTATCACCCCCACCTTGAAGAAACCTTCCCTTGACCCATCACAGCTATTGGCCCATCTCATCTCCCTTTTCTGTCTTAGGTCTTTGAGAGAGTCGTCGCCTCCCAGCTTCGCTCTTTCTTCTCCTCCCACTCCCTCCATGAACCCCTCCAATCAGATTTCCATGCTGCCCACAGCACGGAAACTGCTCTGGTCAAAGTCACAAATGACATCCTGACCATATGTGACCAGAGCTCCCTCAGCCTCCTCGTCCTCTCTGCCGCCTTTGATACTGTGGACCACTCAATCCTCCTCCACCGCCTCTCCTCCCACCTCAACCTTCAAGGTTCTGTCCTTGATTGGTTCAGGTCCTACCTTTCACACTGCCTCCACCCTCAACTCCAGGACTACTGGCGTCCTGACCGACTGCCTGTCCGACATCAAGTCCTGGAGGAAGGACAACTTTCTCCAGCTGAACATCAGCAAGACTGAGGGACTCCTGATTGGCTCGCGTCAGCGCCTCCGCACCTCGGGCACTGGCAGCATCAGCCTCACGGCTGCACACTCAACCGCACTAAGCCAGTCAGGAACCAGGGTATCTTGTTTGATCCTGAACTGTTCTTTCTCCCCCACATCCTCGCTATGACCGTCACTGCCTACCACCACCTCCGCAACATCGCCAGACTCCACCACTGCCTCACCCCTCAGGCTGCCAAAATCCTCACCCACACATTCGTCACATCAAGGCCCAATTATGGAAATTCTCTCCTCATCGGCCTTCCCAACTCTTCCCTCCACAAGTTGCAGATCATCCAAAACTCTGCAGCTCGCGTACTCTCGCGCACCCCCCAGGCTCCGTGACCCCATCACTCCCACCCTCGCCCGACTCCACTGGCTCCCCATCCCCCAGAGGATCAAATTCAAGATCCTCGTCCTTACTTTCAAGGCCATCCATGGCCTTGCCCCCTCCTACCTCTCTGACCTGCTGACTCCCTACCAATCTGACCGATCCCTCCGTTCAGTGGGCTCCAGCCTGCTCCATATCTCCCACCCGACCCGCTCTACCATCGGTGGCCGGGCTTTCAGCCTCTGCCCCCACACTCTGGAACTCCATCCTACAGTCCCTTCGCCTCACTTCCTCCCTTGCCTCATTCAAGGCCGGTCTCCAGACCCTCCTCATCGATCGTGCCTTCAGTCGCCCTCTCACCTCTCTGCCTTCCCTCACCACTACCCCACCCCTCCCCCAGGTCCTGACCCCTGACCGTCCAGTGCAGTACTTGGAGGAGCACAAAAAAATGTGGTCACTCAACTCACGACTGTGGGACACTGATGTGCGCAATTGGATGCCTTGTTTCTCCCATAAAATACATAATACAATACAGTGTCCGTTGAGACAGACACATCGGGACGCCCGTTTTGTCCGGCTTAAGAGGCATTCGAGGTTAAGCCAAATAACATTCCCGCCCAGCAGAATGATGGCGATATCTCCCTCCCATTGCCGTTCCCATTGGTCGGGAAGGAGACCAATTAATGACAGTGCTGATGTGTTTGACAGCTTTGGAACAGCTTGTACATGTTTGGGCTCCAGCCATTCACAAGCAGCTAAACTGTTAATCAATTGCGATTTGACACCTCCAGTTCCCTCCTTTGGTCTTCCCTGTTCCTCTGACCCCTCACTGATTGACAGCCCAACTTCAGATGCTTGTGAATGGTTCGAGTCTGCTGTCAATCAATCTTAGACTCCTCACATCTCCCTCCTGGAGCCGCTCAACACACAGAGTGAGTACATTGACCAGCAACCAAGATCCATTTTACCTGGATTTTTGTCTTGAATCAACCGTTATATTTACAACAGATAAATATACAAATATCGGGTCTGGCTGTTTTCAATTTATGGGTCCACACCTAAAGAGAATTCCAGTGTATATTCTGTGAAGAGCTTTGAGACGTGATAAGGTGTTATATCAAGTGAGAATTATTATAGGGGTGCCATTATTCAGATGAGGGATTGCCAATAGTTCAGGTGGATATTGAAGATCCCATGTTATTATTTTTAAGAAGTTTCTCCTAAGGTCACTCTTTTGTTTGCTATGTGCTGGTACAGTGCTACACACGATTGTGTGAGTGCGTCCTCATGGTCAGACGGTCTGTGTTTGACTTCTCAATGTTTGATTTCAGGCCCAATCAGTCGCTTGTATCTGTCTCCATTTCTGGCCTGGATCCCGAGCACATGCTGACCAACTATATTCAGAAACTGGAGGCCATCCAGCATCATCTGGGAGGGGGGCACACAGGTATGCTCATGTTCATTGCATATTTCCAGTGCAATGCCAGGCTCCCTACTGTGCTCCACACAACACAGGAGGGGAGATTGGTGTTATTCAGTCACTTGAGGACATGAGGCTTCTGAGAGAATGATTACTGTGAACCTGGAACGATTGACTTAGAAAGAGGTACCCGGCGCCTACTGTTGAGAGAGAGAGAGTTGTGAAAGGAGGAATGTGTGAGCGAGGGGAGTCGTCTTTGAGAAAGGAAGATTGTCAGAGTGAGGACAGAACAGGAGAGGAGATGGGACAGTGAGAGAAGAGAGACTGAGGAGTAAGAGAGAGGAAGGAAAAGGGGAGAGAGAGAGAGAGAATACAGAGGGTGAGAGGGGGGGAGATGGGTGGAGAGTTAGAGAGAGGATACAGAGGGGGAGAGAAAGAGGATACAGAAGAGGAGAGAGAGAGGATACATAGTGTAAGAGAGAGGTGACTGACCAGGGGTGGTAGAGCGAGTGGACAGAGTGGGAAGGATTCAATTGCTGGTTGGGGTCGGGCAGCGGGTGCCTGTGTGATGTTTCTCTGCTGTGTGCCAGGAGACGTATGACGTCTTTCCTCATGGTTAATCTCACTTCTTCCACTCCTTTCCTCCCCAGGTTCTCCCCAGCACACAAACGACATGAAGTGAAGTATGACAGTCTGACCAGCAAAGGACAGCACAGTTCTTCTCTGTGCTCTGAAGCTGTGTGTGTGTATTACCGATCACTGTAGGGATTGAGAGCTCGCTCAGAGTTTTATTGCTATACCGGTACCGATCACACAGCCATCGGGTATTTGCATTGAGTGCATGCTTTGTATTGTGTTCACCAAGTGGAATGGTTCAGTCTGATCAGTGGGTGTGTGTGTGAGGGGATATGTGCATACATGTAGGGGGGATAGACGAGGGTACATGTAAGGGTGGGTGTACTTTTGGGGGGGTGTACACACGTGTGTAGAGGATGTGTGTGAACACGATCAAGGCATGTTCCTCCAGAGTGAGAGACTGGTTGGCACTAGCTGTACTTTTCTCAGGTCGCACTGGCAAACCTCATCTGCAGACATTTGTCACATGTTTATCAAGAAATTATTTTTGTAAAAAGTAGTCTGTTTTGCATAAATAAACTTTAACTCAGTAGTTGTTGCCAAATGTTTCACTGCACATAAGCCCAGCTCCCAGACACACTGCTCTTGCTGTGCTCCTCATCCATTTTACACCTCAGCATCCCGAGCAGCTAGGATCTCATCCTTCAATCTTCCCAGTCTTGTCCCTCCATTATAAGCTTAAACAAGTCCAGTGTCCTGGCTTCAACCACACTTCCCAATAACCTGTTCCATTGGTTGATTACCCTCTTGGTAAAGAAAAAACTGTCTGTGCTGAAATTACTCTCATCCCCTGACCCTGTGCCGCTTTGTTCTAGATTTACCTTCTCAATTCCAATTAGGATCATATATAAACTTCTTTCAGGTACATTGATGCCCTGAGTGAAGAGCACTATTTAATGTGAAGTGTTGTAGATATTACAAATGTTTTTTTTTGAGGGAGTATTATCCCTGGAAAAGCGATTCACTAATCCGCCTCAAGACCCTCCTCTTCGACCATGCCATCGGCCACACACCGTCCCCTCCCTTCTCCCCCCTAACCCCAGCTCGGGTCTGAAATGCTGTACATTGTCCAGCGCTTTGGGACGTCTTCCCGACGTGAAAGGCTCTATACAAATGTAATCTTGTTGTTTTCCAGATTCCTACTTACTGCTAGGTAAAACAATACAAAAATACAGTACAAAATTGTATAGCGCCTTTCACGTTGGGAGGCCGTCCCAAGGCGCTGGACAGTCAGGGATTTGGATCCGAGCTGGGGGGCAGGATTGGGGATGGTGGAGGGCAGGGGAAAGAGGGTGACCAAAAGCACGATCGAAGAGGATGAGGCAGTGTCGGAGTGATGTTGCAGGGGTAGAGGAAGGCAGAGCGAGTCAGGCATTGATGCTCTCCGCTGTTTCTAACACTGATCAGCCGACTGCTCTCCCCTGTCTAACTGATCAGCCTCACTGCTCTCCCAGTTTAACACTGATCAGCCTCACTGCTCTCTCCTCTCTCCAACACTGATCAGCCTCAAGGCTCACCCCTGTCTCCAACACTGCTGAGACTCACTGCTCTCCCCTGTCTCCAACACTGCTCAGACTCACTGCTCTCCCCTGTCTCCAACACTGCTCAGACTCACTGCTCTCCCCTGTCTCTAACACTGATCAGCCTCACTGCTCTCCCCTGTCTCCAACACTGCTCAGACTCACTGCTCTCCCCTGTCTCTAACACTGATCAGCCTCACTGCTCTCCCCTGTCTCCAACACTGCTCAGACACACTGGTCTCTTCTCTGTCCAACACTGATCAGCCTCACTGCTCTCCCTTATCTAACACTGATCAGCCTCACTGGTCTCCCCGTCTCTTACACTGATCAGCCTTCTGGCCCCTCACTGTAAGTCTGGCTCTCTGGCCGCTTCCCCTCACTGTCACTCTGGCTCTCTGGCTGCTTCCCCTCACTGTCACTCTGGCTCTCTGGCCGCTTCCCCTCACTGTCACTCTGGCTCTCTGGCCGCTTCCCCTCTCTGTCACTCTGGCTCTCTGGCTGCTTCCCCTCACTGTCACTCTGGCTCTCTGGCCGCTTCCCCTCACTGTCACTCTGGCTCTCTGGCCACTTCCCCTCACTGTCACTCTGGCTCTCTGGCCGCTTACCCTCTCTGTCACTCTGGCTCTGTGGCCGCTTCCCCTCATTGTCACTCTGGCTTTCTGGCCGCTTCCACTCACTGTCACTCTGGCTCTCTAGTCGATTCCCATCACTATCACTCTGGCTCTCTAGTCAATTCCCATCACTGTCACTCTGGCACTCTGACCAATTTCCCTCACTGTGATTCTGGTTCTCTGGCCCCTTCCCTTCAATGTTACTCTGACTCTCTGGCTGCTTCCCCTCACTGTCACTCTGGCTCTCTGGCCGCTTCCACTCACTGTCACTCTGGCTCTCTGGCCGCTTCCCCTCACTGTCACTCTGGCTCTCTGGCCGCTTCACCTCTCTGTCACTCTGGCTCTCTGGCCGCTTCCCCTCACTGTCACTCTGGCTCTCTGGCCGCTTCCCTCACTGTCACTCTGGCTCTCTGGCCACTTCCCTCACTGTCACTCTGGCTCTCTGGCCGCTTGCCCTCACTGTCACTCTGGCTCTCTGGCCGCTTCACCTCTCTGTCACTCTGGCTCTCTGGCCCATTCCCCTCACTGTCACTCTGGCTCTCTGGCCGTTTCCCCTCACTGTCACTCTGGCTCTCTGGCCGCTTCCACGCACAGTCACTCCGGCTCTCTGGCCGCTTCCCCTCACTGTAACTCTGGCTCTCTGGCCGCTTCCCCTTCACCTTTAGCCGCTTCCCCTCTCTCTCACTCTGGCTCTCTAGTCGTTTCCCATCACTGTCACTCTGGTTCTCTGGCCATTTGCTCAGATTGTCATTCTGGCTCTCTGGCCACTTCCCTTCACTGACACTCTGGCTCTCTGGCCGCTTCCCCACACTGTCACTCTGGCTCTCTGGCCACTGCACTCACTGTCACTCTGGATCTCTGGCCACTTCCCTCACTGTCACTCTGGCTCTCTGGCCGCTTCCCTCACTGTCACACTGGCTC